ATCGTTGGAGGCTTTTTCCCTCAGCTGATCATCGGAGGCTTTTTCCCTCCTCTCAGTTGATCGTCAGAGGGTTTTTCCCTCCTCTCAGCTGATCGTCGGAGGCTTTTTCCCTCAGCTGATCATCGGAGGCTTTTTTCCTCCTCTCAGCTGATCAGAGGCTTTTCTTCCTCCTCTCAGCTGATCGTCGGAGGCTTTTTCCCTCCTCTCAGCTGATCGTCAGGCTTTTTCCCTCCTCTCAGCTGATCGTCAGAGGCTTTTTCCCTCCTCTCAGCTGATCGTCAGGCTTTTTCCCTCCTCTCAGCTGATCGTAGGAGGCTTTTTCCCTCTCTCAGCTGATCGTAGGAGGCTTTTCCCCTCCTCTCAGCTGATCGTCGGAGGCTTTTTTTCCTCAGCTGATCATCAGAGGCTTTTTTTCCTCCTCTCAGCTGATCGCCGGAGGCTTTTTCCCTCCTCTCAGCTGATCGTCAGGCTTTTCCCCTCCTCTCAGCTGATCGTCAGAGGCTTTTTTAAAAAAACTGGGCCAAACCAGTAGCATACCACCACTGTTGCTTACGTAGTGCAGATCCAGGGTAATGACTCTGAGGAAGGACCCGCAGTTGGGGTTCTTGACTGGTATTTCAAGAAAAAAAATGCAGGCGGTATTTCCCCAGGGCCAAAAGGGGTCCTGATCCCCCTTTGGATAACCCCTTTGAATGTGGGTCATTACTAGAAAACTAGCTGAAAACCATCTCCCTTTCTTTGCCGTTTGTCAGCCCTGAGATGGTGGCCTCCTCGCCTCCTAGAGACAGAGATTGGTACCAATGATTGGTCAGCAGCTTACAAGGAAGAGTGTCCCAAAACCAGGAATTGCTGGTTTGTTTTGGATGCTAGGTGAGCAATAGTTGAAGCATCAAGTCACCGAAAGGGCTGGCGCTGTTTTTTTTTTTTTTTATCTTGCTGTCGCCTTCCCTGAAGATCTTCCCCCAAGGCAGTGGTGTGTTTGGAAGACAGCAGCCAAGTCTCCAGAACTGGCCCATCTCGTCCCAACCCACCGGTGCGTTGCGTGCGCCCCCCACTCCAGAGCATTCGGTGCTAGACCGAAGAGGTGCGTGCAAATCCGACAGGCAGCGATGAGCAAACATCGGCATTCCCATTGCTACAGTGGCATATTTGTGCCAAGGTCTTTCTCTCTCTCGCTTTCTCTCTCCTTCTCTCGCCAAGCATGCACGCAAACAAAGTTCTAACTGGTTCTCGCGCTGCCGTGGCCCGTGTCGAAGAGTGAGGCGGTATCAAAACACGGGGAGGTGGGGGGCAATTGCTCGGCCGCGGCAAATCTTATGGGTTCAAGGTGAACACCCTTCTTTCCACCCATCCCAAACGCAGCTGTGTATAATAGGGTTTTTTTAAAAAAAATAAAATAGGAAATTTGGGCAAGGGGAAGAAGAACGCTAAAGGATTCTTGGGCTGTTTCACCGGAACCGTTCCCATCTCCTAATCCGCGATGGACCGAATGCATCCGTAATTTGGGTCAACACGCCAGAAGTCTGGCAGTTTTGCATATTGCTGAATCTGTACGCACGGACTCTCGCAGAACTGGAACAAATGTATAATTAAAAAGGATCTCTTGGTCATCCACCCTCCCTTTTTTTTCCCCTCTCCCCTAAAGCTGTGAATCCAATGCATTGTCCCCGGAAAGCCGACGTCTCCAGAGTGGGAATCAACCTTGAATGGCTGAGCGCTTGATACGAACCCAGGGTGGTCCAATTCTTCTCGGTCTCCCAGTAGGAAGTAGTTTGCCACCTCCCGGTCCACTGGTTGTTCCAGGAGCTCAAATCCCAAGGTTTCTAGGAGATACGATCCAAATGCCTCTTGCACCGGGCCGTGATATTTTCATTTGCATATATAAAAACGGTGCAGAAGACAAATGTTTGTCCAATCATTAGACTTGATCCAGAACTGAAAACAAGGCAGGTTCAACTTGGCTCATCCCTCCGGAGAAACGTGGGCCTTGTGTCCGTTCGATCCAGGGCAGAACCGTCTTGGTGCTAAAACTGACATCCGACCCAGGGAGGCGTTTAAACTCCAACTCACCCCTCGTGTCCCCAAAGCTTAAATTGCTAGCTTCGTTGGAAAGAGCCGCCGGATTTGTCCTGTTGAATCAGCACCTCCGATGCATCTCTTTCTTTCTTGTCTTTCTTTTTTTCCAGAGAGAAAGGAAAGGAAGTCTGACCTTAACTTGCCAGCACCTCCCTTGGCTTAAAGCAGGAGGTCTCCAAACTTGGCAACTTTTAAGACTTGTGGACTTCAACTCCCAGAATTCCCCAGCCAGCTTGTGTCTGTTTCTTACGCGCCAAAGTGGAGAGAGATTGCAGAGGAAAGGGATCACGAGAGAGTAAGCTATGCTGGCTGGAGAATCCTGAGAGTTGAAGTCCACAAAGTCTTAAAAGTTGCCAGGTTTGGGGGACCTCCTGCTTTAAAGGAAGAAAAAAATAAAATAAAATAAAAACAGCCCAGAGAGCTTAAAAGCATTTCCGTTGCCCCCAAAACTTGCCCCCCCCAAATACCATGGCAAAGCAGCGCCAGCCTTTGCAACGCAAAGCAGCAGGGAAGGTGCCAAGGGGATGTGTGTGTGTGTGTGGTTACCCTTACTCCAAAATGAGAAGAGAACCTTAACATGAATCCTGGGTTGTCTGGGAGCGCCGAAGGAGGGAGATGGCTGTCTTCACCATTGGCGCGGCTTACGCCAGGCGGAAAGTTGATGAGCTTTTAAGCTGTCAGATTATTGAAGCACCCCGTCGTCCGGCGCATTAAAAAACAGAGAAGGCGTCTTTTTTCTTTTTCTTTTTTTTACAGGGGAGTGGGGAGGGGGTATCATATTGGTTTGCACCCCGTTCTAGCCCTCCTGAATTCACACATCGGCTGCCGCCCCCCCCCCTTCTTCCTTCTCCATCTTGGCGGCAACGTTGAGTCCCCTTGAGTTGGAAAAGGTGCCAGGGAGCGAATTGGAGAGAGTTTGGCCCATCTTGTTTTTGTTCATTTGTTTGCAGAAAGTCTTTTCTCCAAGTTTTGCCATCCTGGGTCTGTCTTAATCGTTCCAGTGTTCTGTTCCGTTGGTCATAATTGCACTTTTCTGGCAAGTCGACGGAGCCCTGCGGGCAATTATCTGACCACTTTTATCCTCCGTAGTTTGAGGCTAGGAGACAGTTTGCCGGAGAGGGAGAACGCCGCTCGCTTGTTTGCCCCTCTGGCTCAGCAGGGGCCCAAACTTTAACACACACACACACACACCCCGGTGCCAGACAATTTCCTTTTCTTCCTCTTGAATCTTCTCCGTGAATATTACGGTTCCTCGCTCCGCGTGGCGAATTGCAAAGCCTCCGGGGGGAAACGAGACAGGCTGTAAAATTCCTCTTGACAGGTGTACTCTCTGCCTCCCAGCTTCCCAAAGAAACACACCAGACCTCCCCCTCGCCCGATCTTCTTAGGAATTAAGACTCAACTTGATTTCTAAGGTGCTTTTAAACACGGCGTGTCACAAAATGAGCTTGGATGAAAGGAACTCGGGTGGAAATGAGGGCGTTCCTTGAGCGACGGCGTGTGGAAAAGAAAGCCCGGGGCATGGTAAGGATGAGTTTTGGCATCTGCCGTGATGCCAGAAGAGTCTCTGGCAACTGGCCCGGCCTCTTCTCTCCATCCCCACATGGAAAATCTGGAAATAGTGGGTTCTTTTGCAAACATGGAAATGGGACGTATCCCGAAGCATTCCTTCCTGTAGGCAAAATTCAGTATTTATTCCAATCTCAACTGCTTTTAAGATTTGTGAGCTTCAACTCCCAGAATTCCCCAGCTGGGGAATTCTGGGAGTTGAAGCCCGCAGTTCTTAAAGCAGATGAGATCGGACAACCCTGATATAAAGGTCAACATGGACCTGTGGACCCTGGCAGAGCCTTAAGATGTCCTTAACTAACCAGGCCTGACCAATTCTCGGCCCTGGTTCCCATCCATTTTGTGTAAGGAGTTCTGCAAGGCCCGGGGGTGGTGGTGGCTGTGGGGCTGATGGATATGGTAGTCCATCTGTCTTGGAGGACGTCAAGTGGTCAAGGCTTGCTCAAAAATGGCCTTTGAGAAAATGGTCCCCATCACCACCACCCAACCTTGGGGTGAAGGCTCTGGTTGAGAGGATGTTCCTCAACGTACTTGAGATGAGCCTGCCTTGTTATGTCGAGTTTCAGGAGAAGACAATAGACTGTATCTTAAGTTGACTCTTTCTTCCAGATTTCCTAACCTCCGAGTCACTGGGCTCATTGGGTTTCTAAGTAGGAAGTACGGATTTGGTTGCTCTCTATCGCCATTCCAGATCCTGATGAAGTCCAATGTCCCTGTAGGAATTGTGGCATGTTGTTTTTGGAGAACAGCCATGGTGGAGGATCCTCATCATAGGAAGACACCTTCAGACCCAGATCCGCGCCTTCTAGCACAATCAGATCCTCGCCTTTTAGCTGACCCAGATCCTCACCTTCTAGCTGACCCAGATCCTTACCTTCTAGCTGACCCAGATCCTCGCCTTCTAGCTGACCCAGATCCTTACCTTCTAGCTGACCTAGATCCTCACCTTCTAGCTGACCTAGATCCTCACCTTCTAGCAGACCCAGATTCTCATCTTCTAGCTGACCTAGATCCTCACCTTCTAGCTGACCCAGATCCTCGCCTTCTAGCTGACCTAGATCCTCACCTTCTAGCTGACCTAGATCCTCACCTTCTAGCAGACCCAGATTCTCATCTTCTAGCTGACCTAGATCCTCACCTTCTAGCTGACCCAGATCCTCGCCTTCTAGCTGACCCAGATCCTCACCTTCTAGCTGACCTAGATCCTCACCTTCTAGCTGACCTAGATCCTCACCTTCTAGCAGACCCAGATTCTCATCTTCTAGCTGCCTCAGATCCTCACCTTCTAGCAGACCCAGATACTCGCCTTCTAGCAGATCCAATTCTAGCTGACCCAGATTCTCACCTTCTAACAGACCCAGATCCTCACCTTCTAGCAGACCCAGATACTCGCCTTCTAGATGACCCCGATCCTCACCTTCTAGCTGACTCAGATCCTCACCTTGTAGCAGACCCAAATCCTCACCTTCTAGCGGATCCAGATTCTCACCTAGCAGATCCAATTATTCTAGCTGACCCAAATCCTCACCTTCTAGCAGATCCAGATCCTCACCTTCTAGCAGATCCAATTCTTCTAGCAGACCCAGATTCTCACCTTCTAACAGACCCAGATACTCGCCTTCTAGATGACCCAGATCCTCACCTTCTAGCTGACTCAGATCCTCACCTTGTAGCGGACCCAAATCCTCACCTTCTAGCGGATCCAATTCTTCTAGCTGACCCAGATTCTCACCTTCTAACAGACCCAGAGCCTCACCTTCTAGATGACCCAGATCCTCACCTTGTAGCGGACCCAAATCCTCATCTTCTAGCTGACCCAGATTCTCACCTTCTAGCTGACCCAGATTCTCACCTTCTAGCAGACCCAGATCCTCACCTTCTACCAGACCCAGATCCTCACCTTCTAGCTAACCCAGATCCTCACCTTCTGGCCGTTCACCACGAGTGTTGGAAGAGCTGAGATTTCGCTTTGCATTTTCACCTCAGGGGGACTCCTCCTTCCAAGAGTAGATGACGTGACCGTCCCCCCAATTTCTCCTGGAGCTGGAACCCAAGGCCTGAGTTCCCCAAGCTTTGCAAAATCCAAAAACTCTGTTGTCCCTTCACCACTTCTGCCCCCAAGTGACAGTATTCAGCTCAGCTGGAGGAGCAAGGCATGGCGCCCAAGGACAATTCTTGGACGAGAGAGACCCTGGACGAGAGAGACCAAAGCTCGGTCCAGCTCTGCTGATCTAGAGGGGATGAAAATCAAGGTTTTGATTGCCCAACTGAGGAAAAGATGGGACCTTAGTTGCCATCAACCGATTGTATCGCAGGTTTTCTCAACTTTGGTAACGTTAAGACGAGTGGACTGCAACTCCCAGAATTCCCCAGCCGGTGAATGCTGGCTAGGGAATTCTGGGAGTTGAAGTCCACCCGTCTTAACATTGCCAAGGTTTAAAAAACACTGCCATGTCAGGAACAGCTGCTATTAAATTTAGGAGGAATTTGCCTACCTTAGAAATCTACTCCAAAATAGCTCAATTTGAATCAGATTCCCGGAAAGAAAAAGAACACTGGCCCTTTAAATGAAGGAAAAAATGGGGAAAAAATAACTTTTATTTTACTCTGAAAATCTGTGCATAATGTCTGCTTGCTTTTGGGCTCTTTAATTTTATTTTTTTAAAATGTTTTCCCCTTTCCCTTGCAACCCTTTTTGGCTCTTTTCCTGTATTTTGGATCCGAATTTAAAGTGTTTTTTTTTCCTTGCATTCATATGTAAATAACAAGTATTATAAAGAATTTTATGGCCGGGAATGGTATAAAAAAAAGAAAAATTTTAGGGCTGCTGGGTGTTGTTGTTTTTTCCTTTTTGTTTCGTTTCTTCTGGGGGGGATATTTTTTTTTTGTATTGTAAAAAAAAAACACCACCTTAATTTAAAAGCAGAAAAGAGGTGAGGAGACCATGCATTTGAAAAAAAACAGCAATGTGAAGTAATGTGTCTATAAATAGAAATAAAGAATGAAACTTTGCCCCCTTTCTGGAATTAAAAAGAGGAAAAAAAGTAGAAAGATTCTGGTTTAAAAAGAAAAACCTCGAGTGTGCCATTGTGTGTGAATTTCGATATAAAACAAATCTCCCATTGGAATGTATTTCACAAATGGATTGTAAGGCTGTGTTTGGGGTTATACAGAGAATCCTCAACTTACGACATTTGTTTCGTGACCAGAAGTTACAACGGCACTGAAAAAAAGAGACTTGTGACCCTTTTTCACACTTATGACTGCTGCAGCGTCCCTGACCAGAATTCAACCACCTGGCAACTGACTTGTATTTATGACGGTTGCGATGTCCTGGGGTCACGTGATCCCCTTTTGCGACCTTCTGACAAGCAAAATTTCCACAGGGAAGCCAGATTCACTTAACAGCCGGGTGACTAACTTAAGAACGGCCGTGTTCTGACCCAGGTTTCGTCAAACGTAATTGAACACAAATTCGTTTTAAAAGCAAAACCTATTTTATTGCAATGCTGGGAATTACTTACATTCCCAGCCAGAACTGATCTTAAACAGTTCCCCGAGATCAGCACCCACCTTTCAGTTCTGTGAAATGCTGCCAAAAACAGAAGTATCAAATGAACTAGAAAAGAAACCAACTGAAGCACAAAGAGCTTCCAGAATGACTCTGAACTGATTGAACGATTTTGCTTCCTGCAAAGGTTTCATCATCTTGGCCTGACTTTTATCCCTTATGGGAGGGGTCATCACCTCCCAGCCTTACTCCCGAGTCACCCCTTTTGTCTCAGCTGGCTCTCGCCTTCTAGCAGTTCTGCGCATACATGCACTGGGAACAGGCTCCCCTGGGTCCTCTGCCTCGCTGCTGCCAGACTCCGGAGGCTCAGAAGGCAGCATCCCACTCCCAGATGGTCCTGGCCCCATCTCTGCATCGGATGCAGGACCTTCGTCCGAGTCCTCTCCAGTATCCCGGACTGGTCCCCGTTCTTCCCCATTGTCCAACTCTGCTGCCGTCTGCACCGGCTGCCGGCGAACCACAACAGGCAGAGACTCACTTAACCACATTGCCAAGGAAGGTCCTCAAATGGATCGAAGCTCCCTTCATCAGAAGTGTTATTCAGCCGGTTCGGACCGGTTCTCAAGAACCGGTAGCGGAAAATTTGAGTAGTTCAGAGAACCGGCCAATCCCACCTCTGACTGGCCCCACCAACCCTAACCCTAACTAACCAGTAGCAGAAATGGGTTAGTCCACAGAACCAGTAGTAAAAAATAATTGTATCCCACCACTGCTCTGGAGTTATGGTGAACTTCTAGAGCCCGGCCTGGGCACCCCCAAATTTGCACATAAGGCTGTCCTGGTTCTGTCCCAGTGGTGCTTTTTCCAAAAAGATAACTGGACTTTCTTGCTTTATTTTTCTGAAAACGTGTCGCTTCTCATCCGAGAAGCTTCTTCCGTTCTTCTCCAGTTGGACCTGAAGAAGCTTCTTGGATGAGAAGCAAAAGGTCTTCAAGGAACACACACATACCCCCACAAGAAGGTCTAGTTTCCTTTGGGAAAAAAACATCTTTGGGTCAACTCGGACCTGAAGGATTGGAGAGTCTTCTCGGACATCTGCAGGTTCTCTTTAACCTCCATTGAACCTGGGTTTGTGGAGGTCACTTCTGGCACAAGGTCCTCAAAGGGTGATGTCCAGAGGTGGTATATTCAGCCGGTTCAGACCAGTTCTGGAGAACCAGTAGCAGAAATGTGGAGTAGTTCTGGAGAACCGGCCAATCCCACCTCTGACTGGCCCCGCCAACCCCATCTCTTCTCTGCCTCCCAACTGATCGGCTGGGTCTCCTTTGGTTGCCCTGCCCAGGAGAACGGAGCTGGAAAGCAGGTTAGTGGGGTGGGGAGGGAAGGGAAGGAGGATTTTGCAGTATCCTTCCCCTGCCACGCCCACCAAGCCACGCCCCCACAGAACTGGTAGTAAAAAAATGTGAATCCCACCACTGCCCTAACCGACCGAAATTTCCGACTTGTTGGAGGTCTTTCCTGTTGAATCTTAGCACCCAGTCCTTCCGCAACCGGAAAACTATTCGTCCCAGATTCAGGGATGTCCTAACTAGCGGCAGGGGTTCATTTTCTTAGCACCAATGTTCCGGCTCAACGACGGTTGCAAGTCGAGGACTACACCTGTAACCCACCTGCTCCTGCCCCCTCCACCCCCGATGCTCACCTCTTTCCCATCCTTTCCCTTCTGCCTCATTTAGAAACGTCCCGTCTCCTGCGACGGCCTTTGCAGTGATGGATTTAGCCGCGGCGGTGAGCCGAAACGATTCTCGGTGTCTCTTTTTCGTTCGCGGCTCCCAGAATTTAATTCTTATCAAAAGCCCAGCATTAATAAATCATAACGGGGGGAGAGAGAGAGAGAGAGACGATTGAAAGTAAAAGCCCGTCTCCTGGCTCTTTTACACACTTGTCTGGCTCTCTAAATCTCCCTTCGATTTCTTTTTCCTTCCAGAAAAGTCACCCAGTCACCACAAATCTCACCTTTCGCACACACGGGAGGGCATCTCAGTTTGATCAAAGTTACACAGGTCAAAAAGATTTTGGGGGGCGGCGGTACTTGTACGGGGGGGGGGGGGCATCGCGGCCCAGCTGGTCAGAAAGGCAGGCGCTCCTTTTAGGCAGCAGGACTAGGAATATATTTCCATTGGGTGCCCCAACAGGTAACGGACTGTCATCGGTGCTAGTGATGGTATGGATTCAATGTGATGTTACTACAAGCCCTGATGGCGTTACGGAGTTGGGTAATATGTCTGCAAGAAACCAAGGTCAGAGTGCACCAAGGACCCACAGGGTCCTCGTTTGACTCCTCTTCCTTTTCCTCTCCTCCTTCATCGCCTCCTTCTCCATCTCTCCACCATCCCCATTTTCTTCTAGCGCCGATAATGTCTCCTACTTGGATCATAAAACATTTGCAAGAAAACCCTAAATCCACAGTCGTCGTCCTCCTGTTCTTTTTTTTCTTGTTATAATTCAGAGTTTTCCAACTTTGACAACTTTAAGATGTGTGGACTCCCAGAATTCTCCAGACGTCCCTGACAAGAACACTCCAAATTCTCCTCCTCCTCCTCCCCTCCTTCCCCTGCTTCTGCTTCTTCCTCCTTCCTCTTCCTCAGTCACCAGCACCTTCTCCACAATCCCCATTCACTTCTAGCATGATGATGTTGCCTAGTTGGGTCATAAAACATCTGCAAGAAAAAAAACAAACCAACTCCGCATCAAGGAACCAACAATCCTTTTCTTCTTGCTCCTCCCTCCATACTCCCCACTACCTTCTAGCACTGATGATGTTTCCTAGTTGGGTAATGAAACATCTGCAAAAAAACTCCCACGAAACTCAGAATACACCA